TAAGTTCAATATTATGTATTAAAAACAGCAATTACAGACAAAATAGAAAATAAATGATAAAATTAAATAAAAATAATCAATGATGAAGGAAAAAAACAAGGAATAAACAACCTTGAAGATAGATAATAAGTCTATCTTGTGCCATAATTGCTAGCAATTTAACAGAATGGACTTTGTTATAGCCAGAATAGAAGAGTTTCTGATCCATGTTACTAGGCTAACAAATAGCCTGATGAGTGCAGTCAATAAATCCATAATTCCTGTTTCCCAGAATATCGATTACATTGTAGTAGCTCTGCAACCACTCTGGTGTCAGACATTGTCTATCCCAGTATAAAAAATCCCTTTGTTGTTCATAGATATGAATTAAAGTTTCATTAAAAACTGTCTCAATCCAGGAAATACTATAATCAAACATCTTTAATTTTCCATTTATTAGCTACTAAAATCTAATATCAATCAAGCTTATCCTAATTTTCATAAAATAAATAAGAAACTGAAAAAATTAAAATTATGCAAGTAAAGAATAGTATAATAATTGTACAAATAAATAAAATTAGAGTATAAAAACAAAAAAGAATAAAGAATAAAGTATACATACATCACAGCAATTCTTATAACGATTAGGAAAGGCTAATTGAAACAGAAGTACAGCCAATATCATGAATGTGGCTTGGCATGGAAAAGGTTTTCACATGACTCATGACTATGAGTAATAGGTATGTTATTGTTTCACGCATATGACTCATTTGGGTCATATGACTTATCAGGTTATGTTTCGCATATGATTTGATTATGAATCATGAGACGTGTGCCTGGGAAGTATGCCTTGCGAGTGTACCTTGCGGGTATGCCTTACGCATATGATTTATATTTCGCACATGACCTCGTTAGGAGGTCATGAGTTTCACGCATATGACTCAGTCGAGTCATATGACTTGTTTATTGCGTTATGATTAGTTTATGAGTTTTTGCACATGACCTTGCTATGAGGTCATGGGTTTTGAGCATGTGACCACTTTGGTCACATGACTAGTTTGTTATGATTTGGTTTTGCACATGTGACCACTTTGGGTTACATGACTATGGGCAGGAAGAACACTATATAAGGAGGCCGATAAGGCCGAGGAGGATAGGTTCTTCAAGCTTTATTCTAAGTACTTTTCCTCATTCTTTCACCCCCTATCGGTAGTGAAGGTTCGGTGTCGATCCAATCAGAGCCCTTGATTTCTATCTTATGATAGACTTCAAGTCTTTAACTTCGAACACCTTTTGGGGGCTTCGTTGTTATACCTCCTCCTACGTTTGCTAGAAGTCCTTTCTTCCTTCTACTTATCCTTTCGGTTGTTCACTGCAGTCGCCTCCTCACGGTCACAATGGCTAAGCGAGCCTCCACCCCCTCCGCCACGTTCACTCTACATTGGTCGGTGGTTCTATCTCGTGCCTTTGAGAAAAACGTTGCTCCAGAGGCCGAACTCTCTCGCCTTCGGCATCACATCTCCGTCCTTTCTCGCCGAATTCATCGCGTTGAGAAAGAGATATCTACCTTGTTGGCTGCCCTGGCCTCTGAATGTGATACAGTTCACGGTTTGGTCATGATTCTGGTGGCTAAAGCTCCTACGGTTATCCTCTCTTTACCTGTCCCCTCAGTCGCTTTGGTTACTATGGTAGTCTTAGTTGAGGGGGATGGGCTAGACCTTGAGAGTTCTCATGGTCCAGCAGAGGAGCTGCCTCAGGGGAATGTTGTGCTACCAGTTATCCTAGCCCCTCCTGCAGCTTCGGTTGTGGATGGTGGTGTGGGTGGACTGGTTCCTGAGTTGTCAGGTTTGGTTGAGGTGCTGGCTCCTGGTGTGGGTGGGGTAGATCCTGGTGTGGTGGTACCAGCTGCAGTGGTATCACCCCCTTCGGGGGGAAAGGTGCCTGAGTCCTCTGTGGCTGAGCCCCTGGCTGGTTGGGGTAACACCTCTGGTGATATCTCCCATGTGGCGGTGGGTGGTGATGAGGGTGGCCCATCCACTCCTGTTGCTAGACCTACTCCTGAGGGTGGGAAGAGAAAGAAAAACAAGAAGCACAGGGTCAAACAAGACCAGACCTCACCTGTGCCACTTGTCCCTGACTCAGAAGGGTCATCGCCTTTGCTGGTTCGCTATCGCAAACTGGCTGCTACAGAGTCTGTAGCGGGTTTGCCACCTGCACAGGGAGCTGAGGAGTTGGAAGAGGAGTTGAATACCTAGACATGTTCGGTCAAGTACCGATGGCTTGGTGACTATATCATCCTGGCTGCTTCTGTCGAAGTTTTTGGGCTGCACTGGTGGTGTGGTACTCCCCTGATTCTCTACGATGGTTCGTACCCCCTTAGCTAGGGAGCACTCACCCTGTAAGTCGGCTTTCCCTCAGGTCTACGCGCTTGGGTATTGGGTGTTTCTTTTGTTTGGGAATGGGGATGGGTGCTGGGGCGGTCGGCGGGGTGTCCTGGGATCATTGAGTGGAGGCACGCGGGCGGGTTTCTATTGTGGAGGAGGATATCGCGGGGTCACATTTACGTAGCGGTTGTGGATTTTTGTATTTTGTATGGGTGACTTGGCTGGCGGGTAGGCTGGGCTGAGAAGGATTTTTCTTTACCATCGATAGCTTTGTATTTAGTGTTCGTGTTGGGGCATGGTGCGTGCATGTTTGAGGTACAGGATTGAAGGTTTAGTTAGTCCGTAGTTAGTGGTATCCGGGATGCGACAACCTGGGAGCCCGGCCCGGGGACTTGTCGTATGCCAGTGTTGGCGTTACGAGTTTAAATAAAATTAGATTGAATTCTAAGTACTTTTCCTACTTATTACTTTAATGAATATAAAACACCTTTACGATCTTTATCTCTATTGCAATATTTATCGTTACACAGAGGAAAGCTCTTTACGGAGAAGAGTTAGAGAAAGCTTATGATAGACGTTCCTGATAGAAGACAGAGGTCTTGTACTATCGGTAACGTAGGTAGAGACCTAGTGCTATAGTAATACAAAGAAAGAAGAAGAAAGAGAAGAGAAGTATTGTTCCCTGTAGCCAAGAACTAACCATCCAAAGAGGGATTGTTACAGCCAAGCAGGTTTCTGGAGTAGCCTGAGAGCGATTTCTGAGCCTTAAATTATGTAAACAGAATGTACAGGCCAACTCCTCAATCTAAGTCTTAGTAAATTGAAGTAATTCCAGGCACCAGTTATTGCTCTTTATAAAAAGATCAAATTGATGTTGAGTATAAGGAGGGCAACCCCAGTTTGGACATGAAACCCATAAGTGTTCACATCGAATTTGTTGATGTAGGGAATTTGAATGAATATACTGCATTATAATATTTCTTCTCCATAATCACTGTTGTAGGAGTAAAAATGGATCAATGAAATAGCAGTAGTATAAATTGCAATTATATTTTGTGCCATAGTACGAGGTTTTGCTTCTGTTTTTTGTTTTTTTTCTTATCCTATGCATCTTTCTATATATATATATATCAACCCTGCTTTTTTGATATTCCAACCTCACATTGTCCTACCATTTTTGTTTTAGCAGATGCTTGGCCAATATTTACATCTTGGCACTTGCCTCAACCCCCTGCGGCCTAAACTCATCAATCAGGGATACCAACTATTCCTGCTTCAACTGCCTAGTCTATTTTCTTGGTATCTCACCTTTCCTAATTTATCACTGTTGCTGTGGTTACAGCATTTTCGGCAGGGGTTATCTCAACTGCTGGATCCCTCTAATCGGTCAGCGCCAACCCTGCATAGTCCGCTGTGCATCCGGAGAGTGGCACCCCCACACCCTGTAGCAGCTGCAGAAGGGTGGCCCAATACACAGGGTGCTGGAGTAATCCGAACCAAATGAGCACATTTAGAGAGTGATCGATACCGCAGTCTGAATACCGCCCCAAAGCCCCCCACAATAGTAGAAAGCCTATGAACAATCCGATCACTATTCCATACTGAACGAACTCAGCTCGCTGCCCAGACCCATTATCTTAACTGAGTCGAGATTCACCGCATACGAGTACAATTATCTACTATACATCGGAGGTCGTCACCCCACGCGGCCAAAACCGTTCTGATAGAGCGATTGAATAATAATCGCTGACGTGCCGCCGCAACCGGTTCGTACGGTGCTGGCCGGCCGCGTTACCGACAAGAGCCTCCAAACCAACCAACTAACGTTGTAAACAATACCGGTGCAATATCCTACGCGCGTCTCCCTTGCGGTCCCGGGAAATGCCCCCATGGGTACTTATCCGCAAGGCGAATTATGGCGCTCGGGGGACAGACCCGGGAGCGACCGGTGCCGGTGCTGCATTTCATTACTCCCGCCGCTCTGCGCTGACCCCATTCTGGGCCCACGAAGCATGATAGAGAGCCTCCAAACCCTGCATCACCTCCGGCCAAAGGTCGTTACCAAACGCTGGGTTACGGCAGCATTTAGGCTGCCAATTAATTGACAAACCCCTCTATGCTGCGAATACTTGTAATTAAGCTCAAAGCGAGACTTGCCTACTGTCTTCATCCCAGTTTAAAACAATTCTGAAGACTCTAAACCCCCCGTTCGTAGCCAAGTAGGTACAGCAAGAACAGATGACATTTAGGCACTTGCAATAGATAGCATAGATATTTACTTCCCCTCTTATTTAATGATTGTCAAGTGGTTTAGCATTGAATACCATGATTATTGCCATTTGCATAAGTAGGCAACATGATAATTTACATGTAACAGCATCATCCGTCGTGGTGTAATGGTTAGCATCAGCCGCTCTCATGAGCAAGCTACCGGCTAGATCCGGGTTCAATTCCCGGCGACGGAATAGTTTTTGACAGCCTTTTTTTTTTTCCTACCGGGGATAATTCTACTACGCTGCTGAGAACGAAGTGCTCTACCCAAGAGTTTCTGTAATACAGGGCCGGGTCAAGCACGGAAGTTGCTACAACTTCCTGGTGTATTCCCACCGCCAGTATTTTTCGCTATAGGCAGAGTAATTTAGAGGGCAATCTAGACTACCATAATGAATTCTAAAGCAATACAGTACGTGCACTTCTCAGGAATGAACAGAAGAAACGAGAGAGGAAAGGAAATTGGGTTCCATAACCGCTCACTCGGATGGCGATATGGTAGTATTCAGCCTATGCTTGGTACAGAGCCCGGAACAAGCCAACGCGGGCTCTACTCTACTATACTAATAAACCCGCTTGGAAATCTTTACCAGGATAAGCCCATTGGTAGGATCACCTTCGTTGTTGATAAGGTTCACAAAGCGATAACCCTCTTGCAGTCTATCAAGACGGATACAAGCCCACGCTGCCAGATCGTCCCTTCCGAACTCCTCATCGTGGATTTTGAACCTATTATGATAGAATAAGTATTGGCAAAGAAGGTAGAGGGGAAGGAATCTACCTAATGAAAGTCAACTTCTCAACTATCCCCGAAATACCCTTAAATTCCAACTTCTCATTCCACGTGCATTCGATCCCGCGCTTCGCTTTAGTCTTTTTCTTTAGCCCAGGGGCCGCATCGGTGTGCACCTCTATCTTAACGTACGGTTCAAATCTCTTTGGCGAATCGCTCTTCTCAGGCAATGGGATGTTGACAGCTGCTATGACTACAATAGTAAGATCTAGGCTCCTCTTGTCCTCGTGGATTCCTCTACCGCCGGGACGATAGCTATCGGGTTTTAGCACGTATCCTCCCTCTCCGGCAAACATACCCTCGTTCAGCATCATTCCTTCATCACACTTTTGCCAATTGAGCGCTACGAGCTGGACTCCACGTTGCCAGAATTCGGTAGGGTCCGCGTTTGAGGACGAAAAACGGAGGCCGAAGGGGTAAACTCGCATCATGTAGTTTTTGTTGTGGTGGAAAATTGACTCCGCGTGCTGGGCGTGGAGGTTTGCGAAGACTTTCTCAGAGAAACTGTAGACATGGTTTGGGATCCTGGAGGTGGGTTCTTCAGTGAAGGGTTGAGCCGCGCGAGACGGGAAATGATGAGATGAACAGTATATTCCGAGTGCTGCTAATGCTCGGGTAACCTTTGCCTTCGGGGGTTTCTGTTTGTTGGCCTTTTTCGCCAATTCCTCGAGTTCGGAGTCTGATGAATCGGATGAGGAGTCTGAGACTGCTGGAGGTGGGACTCTTGGTGCGGTTACGTCGATAGGTGTGGCCTTTGGTGGGGGTGGGAGATATTTTGCCTGGAAAGTTAGCTTGATGTTGGTGAAACTAGAGGAACAGAGCTTGCCTTGACCAGAATCTTCCTTCTCAACTCCAACGGACTCGGGAGGTTTTCCACATTCTCAGGCTCAATTCCCTGAACAAGCATATCACCCCACTGCTCCCTCATGATTTTTACAATTTTCTCCTGCTGTTTAGGCCCCGCATGACATTCCAAACTGATGATGACAGGTCCCTCTCCAGCACCTCCTTGCCACAAGCTACCCCCCTCGGAGAAGGCGTGCTCCGCAACAGCCTTACAAACATCTCTAAACGAAATCTCCTTGGTAAGTGTATATCCATGAAACACCTCCGGCTCTCCATCATCCCCATCCCAAACATCGATCTCAATACACCTACACCCACGACTCAGAACATTGATGTACCCCTCGGTAGTCGAAGACCCATAAAGCTGATGGCCGGTAAGGTAGGTGTTATGCGAGCTGGAGATAAAATATTCATTCAAAGGCCTACTCCAATCCTTCTCCTTCGAATCGGGCAATGCCAAAGCCGAATTAGTAGGGGTAGCGTGATAAGACACAAACTCGTCGAACGTAATATCTTGATCATCGCTCAGCAACTTCTCAGCCGAGAAGGACTGGGAAGAGTGCCCGAAGACCTTGTGCACCCATTTTTGCACCCCGGTTTCTTTCACATCCTCTTCGTTACCGGAATGCTCATCGTAGGTGGCAACCTTTTGAGTGTCGGATAGGTAACTCTTGAATACGGAGACGGGGAGTGTGGAGTAACCCCTCGGGCACAAACTCGTATATACCTTTTGCAACTCTCCCAGAAGTACTTTTGAATCAATTTTGTTCGGTTTAGCCGTCAAGGCCTGAGTAGCAATTCCCCCGCCAGCACTGCCGTGTGAAGCTGTTGCGGTGGCCATTTCGTCGTTGACTTGTCGTGTTTATAATAAATTAAGCGGGTGGAGGGGGGGGTTGAAGATAGAGAGGGGCGTTATTCGATTAGGCACTAAGTACTGTACCAGCACTTGGGCAAAAGCATTACGACAACGGACGACCGTGCAGTACTCATACAGTACACTCGCCGAAATAAAATGTCCGCCCCGGACCATTTCGTGCCTAGCGTAGGCGCCGGGAGGGGGTTTAGAACTGTGCTTGGTCATACTACAACAGGAATCCCCCTTTATGATACGAGTATGATGTCACAAAGTCCAAAATCCCCCTCAACACCCTTCTCATACTTGACCATCTACTCGAGTACTCGTACTCGTATAAGTACAGTACAGTAAGAGCTTGGCGACAAAAGAAAAGTGCATTCGTCATCAGGTCAAGCTGATGTGGGGGGTGTTTTTTTTTTGACCTCTACGACGTTGACTATTGCTGTTTTCACTATGGTTGTTGCAAAAAATTTGTTTTTTTCTTCAATAAAACGAGGTGGCTGAGAGGTCTGTGCTCTGCAAGAGTGCGACCACGGCGCCCACAGGGTCAATTAGGGTCCACTGGTATCATACTTGTACTGCAAAAACTCGAATAATTGGACGGTGTGCGATGGGGTCAAAATAAGGTTCAAAGCTAGGAGGAGCAGAGATTAACGTCTCGGGGATTGTTTAAGACAGAATGAGGAAATAAATAAAAGTACAAGATGTCAGAGAGATTTGAAGTCGATAGTAAAGCTATGATCAATAAGTCTGTACACCAACCCCACCCGCACCTTCACCACAAAATTCAGATGTGACTTCAATTAATGAATTGCACTACCAAAATTAAGGCTAAAATTAAAGCTAAAAATAAAATAAAAATATAGACCGAGAGCGATTTCCATGGTGTTTAATACTTGGTATACCAGCCTTGATTTCTTCGTACTGTGTAGTAGTAACTGGGCATTGAATTGATCAAGCTGTTGACAAGCACCTAGGAGACTGTCCACTACACTAACCTTAGGGCCACAATGAAAACCACTCTACTCTTGGTGTTATCCTTAAGGTCTTTCAAGTATTGATGGTGCCGTTATACGATACCCTTTATAGCCTTCCAAACATGCTTGATTGGATTTAAATGGGAACTGTGGGGGCGGTGTTTGGCAACCTAGATGCCAGGTGTTTCCAACCACTCTTTGGTAACCTTTGCACAGTGAATTCTTGTGTTTTCTTGTAAAAAAAACCTTCCAGGAGTATAATGAGGCAATAAACCTTCCTCCAGAGTCTTGATATAAGAGCATACACTATAGCCATTCTTTGGAGAGTCCTTATCTCGGTCCATAATCTATAATTCTGACCACTCCTGTTAGGTGAAGACAATCCAATAGACTTCAGAGTTGTCTAGGCCAACTAAGATTTGTTTCTGTAGATGGAGATTGTCTAGAAAGGCTTGGATTTCGCTCGTTTTGTTTATGACTACTTGGAGTAAAGTAAAGTAGGCATAGTAGAATAGAATCATGAAGCCAATATTATATTGTTAAGATTTCCTCTCTGCTGCTTGATGATGTCTCAAAGCTTCGGGAGGCACTTCGATATTTATATTCCATGTTTGAGTATTCGCGGACTACATCTATCTATTATACCACTATGTACCTCTCTGATTATAACTTGCAACATTAGGTATTATCCAAAGATGCAAATACTTGGAGATTCTGAAAATCACCACATCTTTTTTTGGTAATTACGATATAACTGACTAGGAACCATATTGTTCCCAATAGCAATCATCCGATCATCAGAGTCTTTAGACTTATGGTCTAGTTCTCGAGTTGAACTGGGTTGGTCCCAATTATCTCTATCATTGATGAAATGATTAGTTTCATCTGTAGGTTGTATCTGCGAAAGTTGTAGTCATTGCAACCTTCCTAAGTTGCCTAAGGTCAAACCTCCATAATTCTATTTTCAACTGACAGATATCTTCCAGAGGACTTTCTACTAACTCGCAGGAAGCTATTCTACCGGATTGACAGATTATCTCTTGGTTGGCAATTCTTGTTTACTCTAGGTAACTGGGTTTCAATTGCCGTTATAGCATTGAGAATTATTCCTGCAACAATAGCGCGTTCCTGAACCCAGTTGTCACTCCGTGAAATCCATTAACTTCTGTGGTAGTATTCCTCAGAGTTCTCGACTCTTCTGGTTAGGTTTCTTGTTTAGATTCTTTACCATTTGATACCATAGCTTTAGTGTGACACTATCTTGTTACTTACAGTCTGTGCCAAAGATATCACACTTTTGAAGCCTAGTAACTCTCACAGTAGTTAATGGATTTACTCTATTCCACTTCTCAGACCTAGCTGAAGGGACCCTCTCATATATCCTACGAACAGGATCTGGTTGGACTGATAGCAGTGATGTATAAAGTGTTACTCTTATACCTTCAATTCTGTAGCATTATAGTCTCAGGATGCAACTGAGATTGATATGTATGATGACGTGTGGGCCCTGTAAGGGGGCCGGAAGCAGGTGTTGGAGACCAATTACCCAGGATTAGTGCTAAAGGCCA